TATATATATTTAAAACCTATACATGATTGATAATGGGCTGTTGCTGTGAACTGTTTCTGTAGATGGTTAATATTATTGAGTGGGCGAAGCAATAGAGCTACAAAGTAGCAAGTAGTGTAGGTAATATTGAGGAATCAAGCGCACTCGATGAAGTAGATATATGCATAAATTTAGTTTTTTGTGGTGACACAAGATGTTATTATTTGATGTGATCAGCATGGTAATAGTTTCATTTCGGGTAGGTGGCTGATTGTTGGGGTTTTAGCGTTTGGATTCATTGTTATTTTATGTGATCAATGGCTGATGATCGCGGCCTTGTTTTTTTGTTTCGGCAGTCGAAAAGATTTCCATTCGGACAGCGATCGACTGCTGAATAATAACTGATTAAAACGTTTCAATTGCAGCGAACATACATTGTCATTGAAGTGGCATTCCGTGCGAGGCAATATCTGCGTACTTGTGATAACATCACTTGAATGCCATTCAACTCATGAACAAAACAGTCGGTATTCATCGGTCTCTCGCAAGCCAGTTGGCACCGTTTCAAGTTACTGGTCGAGAAACAATTTAGAAAAGCTTTGATTTATAAGGCATTTGCTGCATGCAGAAAATGTTTTTTTTGGAGATGACAGCTAGAGATTGGTCAGTAATTAATCAGTTAAACAACACTGTAATTGTTATTATTACGCGATGAACATTCGTTAACTTATGCCCTATTATTATATTTCTTGCGGTTATCAGCTTTCATGCTTACAACAGCAAAGAATAACTGCAGAACTGAAAGATAAGTACAGAGAATGCACACGTCTCTTATTGTTTTCAGACGGTGCTTATGATATTATTCATTTCTTTCGTTAACAAACTGTATGTGTGTAAGTAACCAATTATTGTTGTTTGTATGAGTTTTCTACACACTACCACCTCAAACTCCTACTCAACTAAATTTATGATAATGTTGATGTGACAGCTCGCAAATCGCCCTTTCTGCAGCCACTTCCCGTTTTGTACTCCGCCCTATTGAAGGCTTTCCCTCAGAACCGTTCCATAACATTATTGACAAAATCGGTTACAAGTTAATAATTTGAATGGGTTGATGACTATCTGGGCTTGTTTTATGCGTAAAAGAATGAGTGAATGGGATTTGTTAAGAACGCAAGCATTAATACTGTTGTTATTTTGAAGCGGACCGGCAAATGATTAACAGAGTTTGATGCGAGCTGGTATTGATAAGAAGAAGAAATGATGTTATGTGTTCTTCGATTGTCCACCATTCTTTTATGTTTTATAGAAGCAAACTATGGGATCGGTCTTGCACCTGGTCTCTATTGTGGTTTAGAGAATTGTTATGATGGTGAGTTGATATTTTGCATTGTTCATCTTTAGCTCAACGTTCGAATGAAATGATTTCATTTGTAATTGAAGTGAATGAAATGCATTATTGTTTGTAGTGCATGATGATTATTTCAGTGCTTGGCATCGATCGCAATAACTTTCAGAAGGTTTGTATGACTAATTTTCGTTTACTGTTTCTCTTTTCATGCGTTTATTCTTCCAATATTATCAACTTATAATCCAGAAAAATTTTACGAAGATGTGTGTTTCAGAGCGAAGTTTCTAAGATTTATCGACGTTTGGCTAAACGCTATCATCCAGATCGAGTGGCTGATCATGTTCGTTGTTTTTCATATGGTTATTAAAAGTACTGATATTTGTGTTGTTTTTGTTATTATCACGTAAAATAATACTTGAATTGACGGTTTTTAATCATTCAATCAATTTCAGTCGAAAAAAGCAGAAGCTGAGCAAAAGTTTCGTTTGATTGCAAGTGCGTATGAAACGTTGCGCGATGATGATACACGCATGGATTATGATTATTATTTGGATCATCCTGAACAACGTGCTTATAATTATTACCAATACTACAGACGTCGAGTTGCGCCGAAAGTTGACGTTCGCATTGTTGTCATTGTTACAGTCACTCTGATATCTGCATTCCAGGTTAGTATTATTATTCGTTTATTCAAAATTGTAGTGACTGACAGTTTGTTCTTTTCTGTTTAAGAATTTGTGAACAGTTATGTTTGTTTGGATCATCAGTTTATCAGAGAAGGATGGAAAGGGTGATGTCAGAGTTAATATAAGGGATTATAGAACTAATAGTTGGCTGAGGAGTTTCACGAAAGTTAACAATTCCATTAAAAGTTTGAAGGAAAGGAAGTTTGATTAGGCGAAAAAGATGACAATAAAGGTAGAGGAAGATTGAGTGAAAAGAATTACGGAAGTGTAACCGAGGTTTTGGGAAAGAAATAGGAGAAGATTCAGGATGAGATGGAGAGGTCCGATCCGCAAACTGACCGGTCAAAATTGGATGCAGAAAGTGGTACCTGCAATAATACTCTTATGAATAAATAATGTAAATATTTGTTTCCAGCATATAATGCAAATTTTAGTATCTGAGTGCAAAACATAAGTACCACGAGGCGTTAGATTTCGCAATAAAACAAGAAAAATATCGTAATGGTGCCAGAGAGATTGCCATTCAGCGAGGTTTGATTGCTGAGCCTGATCAGATGGGACGCAAAGAAAAAAAACTTAAACGGGAGAATACCGAAATGATTATTCGACAAATTATTGCCGAAAACATGGACATCAGGTGATTCAAGATTAAGTTTCATTAAAACCATTGATGTGCTGGTGTAACTGACATGATGAATACGTTCTGAATTTTCAGAGGTGGATATAAAAAGCCATCAGTTTACGATACATTGTTGTGGGCCATTATCTCATTCCCTTATATTCTGTTCAGGTATTACCTTTACTGCGTTATTCTGGATGTCCAATATTACAGTACTATTATTTTTGATATTACTGTTATCATAACGTATTCGTCATCAATTTAGATATATTATATGGTATTTTACGTGGATTTACAAGTACTATATTCGAAATGAAGAATATGACAACGAGGCAAAGTTATACCTGATTCGCAAAAATATGCATCTTTCTGAATCACAATTTTCAGTACGTTCCTCTTGATTCTTTCTCTTTGCCGCTTCTCTACAATGATCACTGTTGTCGATATAATTAAAAAGTAGTTTTTCAGTGTTTAAGTGAAGCAGAACAGACGAGTTTTATTGAATTGGAATTATGGAAGAAGACTGTTTATAAGAAATGGAAACAAGCGAAAGATGATGAAGAAAAGGAACGTCTGGCGAATTCGGGTCGTTATAAACGTTATCGAAGATTCATGAGAAACCAAGCGGGCAACACGATTACTTTCTTGGATGAATGAAAACAAAAACTCATTTCTATACCTACAAATATGGACGTGTTGATGAATTGATTGATTTATTAACTGCTCACATGTGAACTTGCTTTTCATATTCTATTGCGACGGGTGTATGATCAGCCAAAGAAAGTATGAACGGTGAGGTGTGACCTTTTTAATGTCGAAACTGATATTTTGATAATTAGCACGTTGTGACAAACATTTTATGATGAACTGTTTATTTATTGACCGATTTGTCAACGAAGTGAACAAACAACAACAATAACAAAATAAAACATAGAAACAGTCGCGAATGAAAGAATGATGATACGACCACCAGAGCAATTAAATTAATAGTATTGCAATGAAATGAAATTTATTTGTGATAATGTTTGTGTGTATAAAATGAGATGATTCTTCTGATTATTCCTTGTTGGAAATGAAAAGATGAAAAAATATAGATGAATGAAAATAACAAATGAGTGTGACGACGACGATTTGTTGTTGTGGTGGTGGTATGTTAATTGAGTAATGAAGCGAACGGAAAGGGTAACTGCACTGGCGTAGAGTTGCTGGATGAATGTGAAACGAATGAATGGTTTACAGTTGTATCAGAAAGCTTGATCGCTTGATGCTTTCAAATGGCATTTGACTGAGTGACACGTCGACGTGTTGCTTTTCGTATTAACAAGAAGCGAGATGCCCAAAAGATAGCTGAAAGGTGACAGTTTTCCAGTTATCGACATCACTTCAATTAATCACTCAATCGAACCGAGCAATCAGTCTAACCAGTAATCCATGCTTAAGTTTCATTTAAATAGTTTGAAAAACATCTTTCTCGGTGAAATAAAAACGAAAACAAACCAAACCGATGAGCGATACACATGTTTCGTGGTGTTACATAGACATGTATTATATCATATCAATGAATGGTGAAGATGAAAAGAATTAAATAATGAAATGTTGACGATTCATTATTGTTGTTGCCGTCCTTATGAGCGGCAAATTCATACATTAACAACCACACAGATTATGCCTACTAACTCAGTATCACATTGTTAATTCATAGTGCTTCGCTTACCTTTCAATCCTTATTTATTATTACTCACTGACTGCCAATCGAGCTGCTGCAGCTGAGTTCGTTTCATTTTATGAATAGAGCAGCCTACCTTTGCGCAATGGCCTACCTTTTCTTGCAGTTGTTTGTACAACACAACACTTGCGCTTGTTGAGATGGATGGATGCCCTTTGGCCTGATTTAGTGCCCTTTCTGTGATCGCTTTCGTTTCAGATAGACAGATCAAGTTTTTGAAGAAAGACAAATTAGAAAAGAACCTCATCTGTTCAACACCTTCTCATCACCTCACTTCTAGTGATGATCATTTTAAAATTATTCATCTTCAAACCGTTCATCCATCCAAATATCGCTTTTGTATCACTAATTCAGCTCCTCTCAACTTACATCGGCTTAACCTAACTTAATTAATGAGTAGCTCGCTGACCTGTGTGCTGTTTGTAGTATGCGCATTGATAATTGATATACATATATACAAATAAACAAATTCGTTTATTTACATAATGGTATGTGTAGGTATAGGGTGGCATGAGGAGAGTGATCAGAACTGTGATCGGAAACTGCCATAATCATCAATGAAATCAAGCTAAAAAGTGACATTTAAAAGATCTGAATTTGTTCCATACCACTTACCTTTAAAGTAATTCCATTCCCTCCGCAGCAACAACACGGCAGTGCAGCACGAATATGACATTTGCAACGAATCAAATAAGATTCATCTGAAGGAGGCGATAGAAACTGTTCAGACGAATGGTTACTAACAGCAACAGTAATAGAGAATAATAACAACAACAACGACAATAACAGTAGTAGTAGTAGTAGTAGAATAATCGTAATCCGTTTTGCTTCTGTTACCATTACATCACTCCCTTCAACAGTGCCAATCGTTCTTCCTGAAAAGTAATCAGTGCACTGGCTGCGACGAACATTTGAATGGAATGAGATGTGTGAGTAGTTTCAACTTACCATTGAAATTGTATCATCAATATGCATCAGCTGTGTCTTGGAACCAAGTTTATGAACGATTGTGGTTGTTGTTGTTGTTGCTGGGTTGGTGAGCGCAACAGCGCTTGGCGAATCTAACGGTGCTTTTTGTTCGGTTATATGAGCACTTTTCGATGTTGCATCCGTCCCATTGTTACTATATGCTGGAAAGGCAACCGGTACTGCTGCTGTTGCTGTGGGCTGTGGTGTGGCTGAGACGGCTGATGTACTAGGGGGAGGAGGATTCGGAATGTGATTTGATGGTGGCGGTGGTTTAGGTGTTAAACTGGGTCGTGCCCCAACGACTGGAGGCATAGGAACACTGAAATGAAGTTAGTTAGTTCGATGGTAATCAGCCTTGTATAAAGAAGAGCTTGAATGAATTCAACAATAGATTCATCCGCTCACCCTGAAATGGTGGCTGCAGTAACAGCATTTGATGTAGGTGCTGCCATCATCGGGACGGGCGGTAACATTCGAGGGGGCAGATGTGAGCCAGGCATAAATGGTGGCATAAACGGCGGTACTACTGCACCTGGTGGTGGCAGTGGGGGAAATCCAGGCATCATTGGCGGCATTCCTGAAAATTTAATGGTGGATGCTTCCTTGAAAAGTTGGTGATAATGATTCTGCTGTCTATGGCACCGAAGTCATTCAATTCTAGAGAAAAACCTGGTGGAAGCATTGGGAAAGCAGTAAGCGGCGGTTGAAGTGGACTTGGTATTGATGCAGTTGTCATAGGTTTCGAAACTTTTGCCAGCGTTTCGTCTGAAATAAAAATGAATAACTGTCAAGTAAATTTGCAATCTGATACATTGAACGTGTAATTTACTACCTGAAGTACCATCATCGGGTATGCCCTCCATACCATATACTTCAATCTCGACAGAATCTTTGCCTGGTAACGCTGCCGGTATTTTGTCGATAGTTTCCTTGTGAACCTTTAAAAACAAAACCCAATATCATTTCAAAATACAATCCTAAAGGATCTGATCTATTCAACTGATCAATTAACTAACCTGCATGCAATGTATAGCTAGACCGGGTCCTGTGAAAAGTTTCTTATGACATATATGACACTTGAAGTGTTTTGCTTTTTGATGTTGGATGAGTATTTTTTCATCTTCGAATTCACGATTACAATACCTGAAGTAAGACTACTTTACGGCACTGCCATCATCAAGCCCTGCTTGAACAAAACCAATATTTAACTTCGTCAATAATGATCTGAATACCAACCAACACCATGGTTTAATTGCTCTTTTCTTCTTTCGACCCATTCTGCAATACTAACAAAGAGGAGATCGATCCGCGTCTAGAGTGATCGGTGGCACTTATGAATATAACGCGTTATTTACCAACTGAAAAATCAACTTGCGGTTAAATGTTTTAATATGGTCACCACATCTGAATTTTAATTAAAGCATCCAATTTCCTATACTCACAAATTACACGCAAAAAAACACTTCAACTTAGGTTAGCACCAAAAATTACGTAAACTACTAAAAAGCAAGAGAATCTTTGCGAGCGTACACAACAAAGAATAACAAGATGTTGAAAAATCGTTTCTTTAGTTCGCAAAACGTATGAGTGATTGTGGGTGCATTTTACAGATTTATTCGCATTTTATTCATTTTATCCTGCTAAATCCGCCGAAAATTCACCTGCAATCTATAAAAAATTGACTGCCAGCATGAAGCTCACCCAACCCACAAAATTCCTTCGCGATACAAAACTCATAAAATTTGCTGAACGAGTGATTGCTGAACGAACGGTATCACACACATACGTTCGCACGCATTGTAAACGTAGGCACAGCTTCAGCCTCGGCCTAAGCGTGACCTAAGCCTCACCCAAGCGTAACATCAGCTTCATCTAAGCATAGCCCCAGCCTTCAAACGCCCAGCGATTCCCCCCCCCCCCCCCCTCCCAAAGTAAACAAGTGCCCGAAATTTTACAGTCGGGGACTCCGAAAGTGCGGTCGGCTCAAAAATTGTCGGGAACGGGATCTCCGAAATTCTTCGATCCCACATCACACTGGCTGATCAATGACTGATAGATTTCATCATTACATCAATAAGAAATGTCGCAACATCTTATAAATTTTAATATTAATCGAACTACACACTGGTCTAGAAATTTAACTGGGGATAATTTAAAATGTGGTAAAATATAATGTGATGTGCAGTGGTGGGCAATAGCGCGCTATTCGCCATTCCGTTACTAGCGGAATGGCGAATAGCGAGTTACTAGCGCTCTTCCGTTACTACTTTTTTTGGTACTGTGATAATGCGGTACTTTTTCCATATAGTGGACATATGTGGCGATAAATTCCGTTACAATGATTTTAGCGGCCTCAAGTAGCGATAACCTGCGCTATAGAAAATATGTTTTCATTCTTTAACGCTTCAACGAACTACTTTTCTCAAGTTTCCACCAATTCGCGGTTTTTGTCTGCGATGGAACGCTCATTTTTGGCAGCATTAAGATATTTAATGCACATGTTTGCGTTTAGCACTGACAAGTGCTCAGTTCAGACTTATCGTAATCCTACTCTAAACGGGTCGAAGCTGAATATTCAGTCATACCTCAAATACTTGATGTAAGTGCACCAGCAGCATTCCCGTCTAAGCTCTCTAAATTATGTGGTTTTGAATAAGTTACGTGACTCTGTAATGATGTTTTCTTCACTTTTGTTCTCGCTAGGAAAAGATATGAATGATATTTATCCGCACATTAATCTATACAGTAGAGTTTGTTGCAAATGATTACAATATGGCGAATATAGTGACTGTCGAAAATATTGGAACTGTTGTAGCGGAAATGTTGTGGCGAAAAATATTGATAGTGAGTGGAAAATATTGTGTGTAGTGTCGAAACGTTCGATGGATGGGCGAATGAATTTATAAGTGAAAAATATGAGCAGTTTGAGTTGCGATAGTTAAAGTGATAATGATATTGATAACAATGGTCGAAATATCGCTGATGAACAAAATGACGACGGGACAATGATAACGACAATAACACTGACCCGTGTTGCCGAAAAGGAACTGATAAATTGAGATGTGGATAAAACGAAGGGTTTGATCAAGAATTGAGATGTGCTGAATCAAGAATTGAGATGTCGAAAGGGAGAGCTATTCCACGAACGAACACGATTAGGGTTAACAGCAACAGTAACTTATGATAAATTTAGTCAAGCATTTGAGCCATACACTTGAATGTATCAAACCTATATTTCTATAGAAATGTATAATATCTATTGATCTATAGTGATCAAATGCATATAAATGAGCACCTAAACGCTAGTACAGATAGATTTAATAAAATAGCTGTAGCTCCTCAACTAATGTAAGCAAAATCGCCTAACAAAATTTATATCGTGTGCAAAAATGAAGTCTGAAGGAAGGTGCTACTCTGGAAGGTCATTAATTAAAATGAGAAAGAGAAAGGGTCCCAGAACAGTACCCTGAGGACCACCACCGCTAATGTATTCTGACGAAACTTAATAAATCACCAACTTGGAATGATTAGAAACGATTCCTAAGAAGTTTCGGATCCGATTGCAGATAGAACCTCGTATGTGACATGTTTGTAATTTTAGGGATAATTTAAGTATGGATGCCCAATAAAACGCTTTTTTGAACTCAAAATATATGGTGGTCTTTTTCTAATTGTAAGCTTGATCTTCTTATTTTTATTTCTCGCCTTGTATGAATGAGATAACCAATTTTAGTAGGATCGAAGTAGAACCGCAATGCTTGATCTTGTACTGGGAATGTCATAATGGAAATGAGAAAACAGCTTATTAATTGGAATATAGTTTCTCTATTTAGCTGTAGTTATTTATTCAATAACATGAGAAATTCAGCAGATTCATGAGATGGGATGATAGTTTTGCGGATTCATTTTAAGCCTTTTTTGTATAGGTCTGATGATTGCTGATTTCCAGTAAGATCCAAACGATGTAGAATTTCAGATGAAATGCTCAACGTGTTGATGTTCTTAAAAGAGAATGAAAAGGTGTAATGTGGGCTGTTGCCAATTGTTTTTCATGGTTCAATTTTGTTATCGTCATGTGGTTATTCGCTTATTGTTGAACCTTGTTTTTACTGGCGCTTGATTTTTTGTTGCTGAATGATCAACTGAAAATTTGTGACTATTTTGCTCTTTTTCTACTTATAAGCTAGATCTTCTTATTTTTCTTCTTATCCGATCTTCTTTTTTCTTAATATTATCCTCTTGAGAAACTCGGATTGAATTTAGTTTTGACTCTATTTTGGATCTGATTTGCTTTTGTAGTACGATCGTCGATCATTATTTTTAGTGATTCAATAATTTTATTTATTATGAAGGGGAATCGACTTAACGACTGAGTTGTTTCTTCATCATATTATTATTTCATACACTTATTTAAACTTTATCCAATCCACAATTTCATTCAGAATTTGCAGAAAAAAATTTTTGTGATGCCAAATTGATGAATCACAAAAAGTTGCATCGATGAAAATAGCATTCTGTGAAAGAACTTGGATAGTGCAGTGAATTACTGTATTTGTTGCGAAATTTATTGAATTAAATAAGAAAACGTTCTTTTTATAAGCAGTGTTATTGCACAGGCAACCCAACACAAATCGCTGCTGTTTTAAGCAGTAATTCATTAGTCGCTGATCAATTATTGTTATTAATTGAAAAGAACAGCTGTGAACATCCTTGTTATGGTGCTCTTAAATATTCTGCAACCACTGTCAGATGCAAATTCTAGAACATAACCAAGAATTCAGTTTCTATTTATAACCTAATCAACCATGCACCGCCCAATTTTCGAAATCTTCAAATTCATTAGTTTTGTCTGCAGTTATCACATTGCTGCTGATAATTTCTGGTAATACCCTTGTGTTTGCAGTTGTACTTTTGTGCCTAAACGCTTCCAACAAGTCTACTGATTACAATTCAGATGTTTTAGTTGATTGGTTCGTTTATTACCGTAAGTATTTTTTATTTATTCTTAAACTGTGATGAAAAACTGGTGAGAATTGTACAATTTATGACATTGTAATGATGTATGAAACTTGATAAACTCTTTGAAGTGATTTTATGGAATATTAATGTTGTAACTTTTGTGCAATTAGTACATATGATTTCATTGATTTTACTTGGCCACTGCGATACATACCACTTCATCACTAACAAGGGAAGGTCACGAACTTACCCCAACGTTTCGGGATGAGATGTATATCATTGTAAGAGACGTGTTTTTTGTGCATGTCACTGTTTGATACCTATTGTTTGTTGCTGTCATCGTTATTATTTTTGATGAATCATTATGCTTTTAATTTTGCAGTAATTCACTACTATTCTCTCCGCTAGTAATTTGCATAATTTTTAGCCGTTTGGGTGGTCTTATTAGTGACATTAAGATGCCGGCAATACATTACAGGCACAAGCATTGTTGCTACTAGCACGAAAAATCAAAGTATCATTGCTGTAGACAATAATAATCATAGTGTTCATGGTAATAATAATAGCGAATGTAAAAAGGTAAATTTACACTGATAAAATGTTGGTGAGTAATTGCAATATGATGTTGTATTGTTTATAATCGGTTTATCGTTGGACTTCCATGATCAAATCTTTTGATTATTCCGCTCGACTTGATTTCATCTGAATTACCAATATTTCGTTAACTTATCGGTGTGTTAGTACATCATCAGATACAATCATATCTTATCACTGTGCTTCGAAATAATAATGAGCAAATGAAGCATCCAAACGCTCGTATAGTTGACTGCTATTCTGATAAAAAGAAAGCCGCATAAAGAACGACAAATGAAAAACTAAATGTGAGCTATTTTTAATCACTTCTTTTGGCAACATTTAAAGCAATAATCAATCGAATGCTCAGGAAAATGAATCGGCTGAACACATGGCAATAGTAATACCATGACTAAATGTGAGCAATATATTCATGATCTATGAATGGAACAAAACTGTTCTGTTTGTTTTGTGTCTATTTCGCATGGCAGATGCCTATGGCATGCCAGATGATATCTATATTCATATGTATAATGATTTAACATATATGTGATTCGAATGGAAAACTTTGAGTGTAATGTTTCATTATCATATTACTGTTTTATATTTTTATTGTTTTATTCAGTGTTACTTCGATAAAACGCTGAAAAATATCAATAAGAAGGCAAATTGGCATATTCAAAATAGCACTTCAATCTTAATATTTTATAAATTGCTGATCAATTCGAAATAATATTAATAATAA